GGAGCTGGCTATCCCGCCAGGCGGGGGGGTACCGGGCAGCAGCTCTGCGGGGGGGCGGGGAATCTGTGCAGAGACGGGGCCTGGGGGAGTGTCCCAGAGTCAGGGTCTAACCCCCCCCCCCCCCACTGCTCTCGTTCCAGCTGCGGGATTTCCTGCTCGTCTACAACAGGATGACGGAGCTCTGCTTCCTGCGCTGCATCTCCAACCTGAACTACCGGGCACCCACCAGGGAGGAGGTGAGCTCTGCACCCTGTCCAGTCCCCCAGGCATGGGGCTGCGCGGGAGCTCTTCCCGGGGCGCAGCTGCCTGCTCATTGCCTCCAGGCCGAGGAGCTCTGTTCCTAGCTCTGCACCCTGTGTGTCAGAGCCGTGGGCTGCCCGCTTCGTGGGCACGGGTACTGAGGATGGCAGGGGCCAGGCAGTGGGAGCTGTGGGCAGGAATGGGAATCTGCTCCCCATGGAGCCGGGTCCCTCATGATACCTGTGCTTTGTCCTTGCAGGAGACCTGTCTAGATGGCTGCGCTGGGAAGCTCGTCCACTCCAACCACCGCCTGATGGGGGCCTACGTGCAGCTCATGCCCTCCATTGTGCAGCGCCGCATCTCTGACTACGAGGCCGCTGCAGCCCAGGTGGCCCCGGGCTCCAGCCCGAAGGAGGTCCCTGGTGCTGCCCCGGCGGCCCTGCCAGCAGCAGTTGGCACGGAAACCCACCCTAGCCGGCAGGTGGCTGCCAGTGCGGAGAGCGCCCCAGACACCGTCAGCTAGTGCCCCACTGCCTCCCGGCGTTTCCTCGTCCCCCATGGCTGCACCCTGGACTTAGGCCTGGGTGTGAAACAGCCTCTTGAGGCATTGCAGCTGCACCCTGGGCTGGGCCTCCTCCCAGCACTGGATCCAGCCCAGATGGGCACTTCCTCCCTCTTCACTCGGGACTGGGCCGATTAGTGCCAGCATCAGAACTACCCTAGATGCAACTGCCAGCTGCAGCCCGGGCCTCCTGAGAGCAGAACCATACAAGTTCCAGCAGCGTTTGGGCTGGGCCAGCCTGCCTAACGGGCTCTGAGCAGCTGCTTGGGCCCATCGCCCCCGGGGCCGGGCCGTCTGGAGCAGCCTGTGGGGGTGCCCTGCTGAGGGCTCGTCAGTCACAGCAGCCGCTCTGGAAGGCTATTTCCTATTGCCAGTAAATCCGTGTCCTCTTGATTCCCCGGGTGCGTGGGATGCTTTGGTCAGGGCCCAGCCCACTCACACAGCTGCTGGAAGGGTCTGGGACCCTCCCAGGGTGTCATTTGTCCCTGCCCTGAAGCCGTCTGGGGGGGGGCCCTCTGGTACTGCTTCTGTCCCTCGCTCTTGTGATTCTCCTGCCTCTGTCCATAGGGCCCCTGCACGAACCCAGGTTTCGACGCTGAGTCACTAGGGTGAGCCCTGCCCCCCAGGGGCTGGGAGATGAGGGGGTCACTCTAAGGGGAGGGGCTCTGTCCCAGGTTCCCATACACCAGGCGAATGGAGCTTGTGTGGCCCCACAGGAGTGAGGGGACAAGGCAGGCTCCTGTCTGCCTGCGTCTGCCCTCCCTGCTCCAGTCCCATGTGCCAATGCACGACGCTCCGAGGTGGAGCATGGGGCTGTGGCGCTTGTCATGCATCAACAAGCTCTGCCCTGCTTTTAAACAGTGTCCTGGGAGTAACGCTTCTAGTGTGCCAGGCTCTGCTCCACCCCCGTGCAGGCCGCGCAGCCCAGCACCCGCTGGACTGGGCCCAGCGTGTCCCTCGAGGTAGACTCCTACTCAGAGACCCCTCACGGCCTCGGGAGCACAGCAAATGATAAGCCGGCTGGGTCAGAACAAGGGGGTAGTGCCTGGGTGTGGTGTTCGGAATGGCGGCCACCACGGCCTGAAGCACCCTGCTCTGCGAGATCCAGCTTCTCTCGCACTGGATGGCTGCAGCACCTGTCCCTGGGAGGAAAGCCTCTCTCCCGCTCCAGGGGCAGCTGTGCCAAGTGGAGTGCCCAGAGCTGTACATGGGTAATAAAGAGATTAACACGAAGCTCCCATGTTTGTTCCAGGCTGCCTACGCGGCCCTCAGCTCTCGCTCAGCCAGCACATGCACCCCCCTGCCAGCTGCTCCAAGGAGCAATAGCCTGAGAAACAGCTGGGCTTACTGGGGCAGGGGACTGGTTCACACACAGGTCCCAGTCCTCTCCCGGGCCCCTCTGAGGACCCTGAGCCCGGCAGTGAAACCTCCTGGAGCTCGCTTCAGACAGCAGAAGGGGTTGGTCCTGTGGGAACCAAACCCCCGACCCCCAGGGCTCTGGCGAACGGTTTCAAGACAGGGATCCGTGTCCCAGTGCCGGTGGGCTCCCCTCTCTCTGTGTTGCCTGCTGGGTGCACTCCCTCATCTCACCGGGCACTGCGCTGGGCCTGATTTCCCCCCACAAACACTTCCCCAGGTGCTGCGGTGGGACTGCTTCTCCTGCACCCCACCCCCCCGGGCACCTGCGCTAAGTCTGCTCCCCCTGCCCCCTCTGGGCACTGTGCTGGGCCTGCTCCCCCATCCCACCCCCTATGCTGCCCCCCCCAGCACCGTACTGGGTCTGCTCCTGCCATCCCCCCAATCGGCACCACGCTGGACCTGCTTCCCCACATATTCCCCTGTGCTGCCTGCTGGGCCTGCTTCCCCCCATCCCCTCCCAGCTCTGCGTTGGGTCGGCTCCTCCTGCACCACGGGCTGGGTCTGTCCCCTGCCCTCCCAGGATGTTGTTTGCACTCTCCCCTCCTGGCACTGTGCTGTGGCTTCTCCCGGTGACAAAGTGGGAATTTTCTGCTGTCACGGAGTCTCTGGGCAATGCTCTGGAACTGCTCCCTACGAAGCCAGTCAGGACTCTGGGGGAGCCTCTTCTCTGTGAGCAGACTGTCGCCAGAGCAAGAAGCTTCCACAGCTTCCACCTCCCTGGGTCTGACCCCGGAGCATTCAGCCTCCCCTGCCCCTCCGTGCGCTTCCCACAGCGAGTCCGCACAGGTGGGGCTCCTGCGGAAGCCAGAGGACCCTGCACCCCAGCTCCACAGTCAGACGTGACTCTCGGCCAGCCAGGAACACCGAAGGTTTATTCGTTGATGGGAACACAGCGTAGGGCAGAGCTTGTAGGTACAGAAATCAGTGACTTTCAGCCAAGTCCAGCTTGTGGGGAGGGGAGCCCAGAGCCCGGGCTCTGCCTCCCACTGCGCCCCAAGACAGCCGAGACTGACTCGCTTCCAGCTGCCTGGCCCCTGCCCTGCCCGTTGCTCCTCCGGCCTTTGTCTCGCTTCCCGGCCAAGAGTCACCTGGTCGCATCCCCCTCCGGGGTCTCAGGTTACGAAGGGGCGGCCATAGCATCCGTGCAGGCAGCTGGAGCGACCCCCACAAAAGTCACACCCCCTTATTCCCATCATAACAAGGAAAATCCCCACTTCGTCACATCTGGGCTATTTATTAATCTGCCATGTGCCTCAGTTTCCATCTGTGTTTGGCACTACCGCCCCTGGAGGAAAAGGGGGTTGTCAAGGTTCCTTTCCCACTCTGAATTCTAGGGTACAGATGTGGGGACCTGCATGAAAATCTCTAAGCTTAACTACCAGCTTAGAGCCGCTTTTGCTGCCACCACTCCCAAGTACTAACTCCCTTCCCTGGGTAGCCTTGAGAGACTCCTCCACCAATTCCCTGGTGAACACCGATCCAAACCCTTGGATCTTAAAACAAGGAGAAATTAACCATTCCCCCTCCTTTCCTCCCACCAATTCCTGGTGAGTCCAGATCCAGCCCCCTTGGATCTTAAATCAAGGAAAAATCAATCAGGTTCTTAAAAAGAAGGCTTTTAATTAAAGAAAGAAAGGTAAAAATCATCTCTGTAAAATCAGGATAGAAAATAACTCTACAGGATTTAAAGAGCCCAGAGGAACCCCCTCTAGCCTTAGGTTCAAAGTTACAGCAAACAGAGGTAAACCCTCTAGCAAAAGGAACATTTACAAGTTGAGAAAACAGATAAACCTAACACACCTTGCCTGGCTGTTACTTACAAGTCTGAAATATGAGAGACTTGTTCAGAAAGATTTGGAGAGCCTGGATTGATGTCCGGTCCCTCTTAGTCCCAAGAGCGAAGAACCCCCAAAAAACAAAGAGCACAAACAAAAGCCTTCCCCCCACCAAGATTTGAAAGTATCTTGTCCCCTTATTGGTCCTTTGGGTCAGGTGTCAGCCAGGTTACCTGAGCTTCTTAACCCTTTACAGGTAAAAGGATTTTGGTGTCTCTGGCCAGGAGGGATTTTATAGTATTGTACACAGGAGGGCTGTTACCCTTCCCTTTATAGTTATGACAGGGGTTGTCTGCTCTGGGGGGCAGCGCAGGACAGGAGGTGCGGGCATCACCTTGTTAAGGCAGTGGCTGGAAGCTGCTGAAAGTGACCCACGTCAATGCAGCATCCCAAGAGCAGAACATTCATGGTTAGCAAACGAGGCGCTGGGCAGAGCTCCGCTGGAGCCCAGAGGCGCTCAGACCCTGTGGCCTGCCCTAGAGGAAGAGTGGGAGTCTTTGGGGGTCCAGAACATTGAAGTTTCCTCCGAAGGCCTGTTTAAAAGCTGGGGTGTAGCCCCAATGCTGTGGATCTGTGACACTTCCCCCACTCCCCCAGCCACCACCCTGAGTTTGATGCCCTGGGTCTGCCTCCCCCCCCCACTTCTGGCATTCTGCTGGGTCTGCCTCCCCTCTCGCTCATGGGCACTGAGCTGTATGTGCCAGGCACTGGGCTGGGTCTGCTCCCCCACTGTGGGAAAGGCACCAGCCAGGCTGGTTAGTGCTGGAGGGTGTGGGAGAGAGAATACTGATGGGGGGGGGCAGTCAGGGAACTTCTATTACTGCTCCCCTGTCCTGGGCGCCCCGACTGGGGGCTCTGGCCCTGCTCGGAGTGACACCAAGCAGGACTCTGGGGCAGCATCTCTCCTCAGGGCACCTGTCCCAGGGCAAGGACCCTGCTCCGCTTCGGCACCTCCTGACCTCGGAGCGTTCAGCCCCCTGGTCACCCCAGGAGCTCCCCGCAGCGAGTCTCCCTGGGCGGGACCCCTGGGGGAGTGTCACGGAGTGTGGGGGGACTCAGGGCCCTGCACCCCCGGCTTCCTGTGATTCACCATGACTCTCAGCCAGCCAGTAAAGCAGCAGGTTTATTTAGACGACAGGAACACAGTCCAAGACAGGTCTTGCAGGTACAGACAACAGGACCCCCTCAGTTAGGTCCATCTTGAGTGGCCAGGGAGGCCAGAGCCCCGTCTGGGCTCCCCTCCATTTTCCCAGCCAACTCCAAACTGAAACTCCCTCCAGCGTCTCACTCAGCCACCCCCGCCCCGCCACGCTCCTCCCCCAGCCTTTGTCCAGTTTCCCGGGCAGAGATGTCACCTGGCCCCAACCCCCTCCTGGGTTCTCACGTTACATGCTCAGGTATCTTCCCTCAAGGCCAGTCTCCCATCCCCAATGCAGACCGTCCCAGCCAAACTCCCCTGCAACCTTCCCCGGCCAACA